GATTCATTTATTCGGTTATTCGGATTTTTATAGAAACAGGTACCTATTTATTCGGTTTTTTAAAAAGCGAATAATGCCCAGGCCTAATTCATATATGCAGGCATTTCACTGAAATTTTCAGGCACCACTTGTCACTTCTCTTTACACATTACTTGCTCAGTGTCTTGAGTTATATCTACACAAAAACCTCATGTTTGCTACAAGGAACACTCGGATTCAACGAGATTTTAGGTCAAGCCCGGCGACCTCGTTGAGTCTTGAATCCAATACCACTATACCACCTTAGGAAAAAATTCACTAAAAATGTTATAGTTCTAGTACGTTTAAGAAAATTTCATCACACAGACTTGTAGAGATCTATAGTTTGCCAAGCTGCATCATGTATGCACAAAAACTATTTCCATTTTTTGAAAAAGTGCGGTATTAATTGCACAAGACATGTCAACAAAATTCAATATGGCCTTCGTATCCATGGAAACAATTTTTTTCCCTCAAATTTGATTGCCGATTTTAGTTTAGTTTACGCAGAGGTTTTACGGCGCTCGCAACTGCATAAGGTCATATGAGCGCCAGAAGATTAGAGGGGTTACAAGAGAGTAACAAACACAAAAGAAGGAGGAAAGATAAGGACAATAGATGTTTGGTAGGAAAGAAGCAGCAAAGCACACCAGAGCACCCACAAGGTTGAAGCAGGCTGATCTGACTGCAAAATGATCTAAAATTGTGTCAGAGGGGATAAAAGAGCGCGACCTTCAAACTGTCTTCCCCACTGTAAAGAATTTCTGGCAACCACACAGGTTTCTGTTTGACACATTACACCCTAACTCGCCCGCGCCGACCTAGCGTCTTTAGAAACAAAGTCTCGCGATAAGGCTTTTGGGCCGTGATTTTGATTTGCATAGTTATTGCAAAAAGTTTCTTCTATCGTTTGTTAGTGAAATGACATTTTTCGGGCCAGTAGTTTAAGTATTGGAGCGGATTGAAATTGAAGTATTGAAGAGCGAACGCGTTACCAACACTTCGAACGTGTCTCGACTTGTTGAAAAGCGGCCCAATTGAGTTCGAAAGAGTGAAATAGGAAATAACGATGGATTTGAGCAAAAACAAGAATATATGACAAATCAGATAGACTCAGATTTTGATGAAAACGTAGCAAGAGTTCGGGACGATTCAGATTGATCAGATGTAGAAAATCTAGAATTTAGATCTAGGGCCCGACCGCGAGGCTAAGAGTGACGGGTCGAACACCCTGATGCTAGAACATTTCCAACAGTTTGTGCATACATCAAAATATATTTTTCTGAAACTGCATTCATTTTTCTTGTTACCCGATTTTTGGAATTTGTTTTGTATTTTTTTAATGTGTTTTTTAAACCAGGGATGCCTCTCAACTTTTTGGAAACAACTGAAAATCCACGGGCCACGGTCTCGCTTTCGGTTTCTTTTTTCCTCCCAGTTATTTGAACTTATAGCGAAGTCTTCATTTTCCTGTTATTTCAACATTTGGCGCAAGTTGGGTGTGTGGGATTTTTTCCCCATCCCCAACTCTATAGATTCTATCTCGATCTCAATAACGGAATAGCGGATCAGGATCAAAATACCGGAAAAGTGACATCCCTGTTTAAACGTTTGTATTCACAGGATGTGGGTTCCTTCCCCTTGCTTAAGGACTAGGCCCTTATCAATGTATGCTATATTCCTGTTGCAAGAACGGAAAAAAATTCCACAAAGACAAAACAATATCTCCAACAGACAATTTTTTCCACATAAACAAAATAAATCATACAACTACAACAGAATCTTAAACTAAAGAAAAAGAATAAAAAATTTTAAAAAACCAAAACCTGGATTTTTTTCTCTTTTTTTAATGGCATTAAAATTCAGTACCACATAATTGTCTTCCAAATTACTTCTTGGACGTAGACTCCCTGATTGAGTCTCCCTTGCTCCTGGAGTTGGATCGCTTGCGCTCCATCTTGCGCTCCTTGGCTTCCTTCATCCTCTGGGCCAGCAGCTTGGTGTACTCGGCGTGATCCTCACGTTTCTTGGTCACGCGCTTCTTCTTGAGGGCCATGCGCGCTCTCTTGCGCTGGAGCACCACAGGGGTCACCAGACGCTGGATCTTGGGGGCCTTGCTCTTGGCTTTCTTGCCTGGAACAATAAACATGGGCAATGAGTTTCTAGTCTAGTACTAGTACTTTATTTTCCTTTACTTTCCTGATCCAGTGGCCATCTGAGTTCGAGCCCTTCAGCCAGTTGATATGGCAGAGATGCCAACCACAGAAAACCGAAATGAGTATTGGGAAATATGAAAATGTGTATTTTCAGGGGAAAATGTGTATTCCCCTCGACCGACCAACTAGTAATAGTAAAAATTACTAGCCCACCAGCTCTAAAAAGGGAGCACACACGCATACAATATATATGTATGCAGTCAACAACATGTCAGTGTTCAATGTCGTACAGGAACTTGTTTGACTTAAGTATTTCAATCTATTATATATTTTCCTCTCATTATTATATAAAAAATAAATCCTGCTTTGAGAGTTCGGAAGGGCCTAGAACAAGAATTTCGACTATCAAGAACCAGTCTGGGTGTCATGATTCATTTATGAACTGACAGACTCAAATTATTGCTCAAACTCAGAGAACAGCAATAACTTGAAAGGCTCTTGAAAGTAGACCCGTGCACTGTGAGAGTTGTAACAACTGTGGGAGGGCAAGATGCAGTGACGTTGAAAATCTGCCAGTCTTGAACAGAAAGCTACAACATACACCGTAGGTATAATTTACTATCACCCATCCAAGTAGATGTAGGTATAATTTAGTATCACCCATCCAAGTAGGTATAATTACTTCCACTCATCAAATGAAACGCGAACACTTTATTTCAATAACACAGACTTGCAAAGTATGAGGGGTCCCTTCGCAGCGTCCGTTACTCCCACCAAAGACAGTCTTTACTCACACGATGCCGCATTTTTTAAGACGCGAATGCGCGCAGGTTCAGTGACTGGTCACGATGGCGAGCCAGACAATCTAAAAATCGGACGACGCTTGTATTTTCTTTTCTTTCCACAAGCGACAGCCAAAGCGACGAGTCTGAGTGTATATTACATTTTATTTGCACGGCGTCATTGCATTTATACTGCACAACCTGCATGCCACAAATGTTGCGTTATCAGACAACTGCTGGCGAACTTCTCGGTGGTAGCGAAAGCAGATCTTGATTTTCCCGATCGAGCCTCGGTGTCATATACGCTTCCGCCTGCCGCCATAGCTGCCTATATGCGTGAAAGTGAAACGTACTCTCCGGACGGGGAAAAGCTGAATGAATATAATATCACGATCGCGACAGGCAAAAATGAACTTACTGACCTTATCGGACTTGGTTTTCATATACAGTATTCCAGTTCTGCGATACTGATTCTATTTTAAAAGATGGGACTTGAGATAATTAGGCTTACTCGCCCAAGCTGAATCTCGTATTTTTCGCATTCCAGGATGCGTATTTATTCATGAAAAGTCGTATTCGCGTATTTTCGGCAAAAAATCGTACTAAAATACGTAAAATCGTACTGGTTGGCATCTCTGTTATGGGCATGGCAAAGAATTCACAGGATTTATCAGTAGCATTTTGTCACCGTAGAGAATGTTCCTGACATCTAGGGAGGCAGGAAGTTGAGTCTGAGTACAGAAAAGCACATTGACACAAAAGCTGGTTGTCATTTAGCGCTGGGAAGGAGCAGAACAGATACACACGGCAACGCTTATCACTCTGGTCTCATAATATATAGCAAAAAAACCCAAAAAAAACTTTTTAAAACAGGTATGTTTGGCTACAATAATAATCTAAACATTAACACAATCCGTTACAACAAACAGGCAAGAGAACAACATAGATGGCGAATTGTCCCAACGCGACATTTTGTGCCACACCACACCCCATCATGTGTGAGTGTGAAAGGAAAAAAGCTGTATGTGCTCCAGTTGATGTAAATCCAACCACATTTGTGCCCCCCCCCCCCCCAACAATGGTAACAACATAATCATATACTTGATTATAAATTATAAATGTTTGTAAAATGCTAGGAACAGGCTGTAGACTCTATAGAACATGAATATATATAATGCTATGTAAATGAAAGCATTATTAATATCTGTGCACCTTAAACTATTTTTAGTCAGCCTAAATACTATTGTTTGTTTAGTATAGGGTTTTACGGCGTTGGTAGGAAATTTTGAATTTTGCCCGTGTGGCCGCCGTAGCCTACTCTTATCGATTTTAGACCACCAAGGGATCTTTAACGTGCACAACTTGCACACGGGCCCTCCGAGATTTTTCGCCCTTGTCCGAGAAGGCTAGGTGTAGATCTTTCCTACCAGAAGATCAGGGGTGTGGCAGAAATACAGCAGTTAGGAAGAGCCAAGGAGTAGCAATAGAAAGGCTGCAGAAAGAGTCAGGAGCCCAGAGGAGGGGGCAAAGGAGGTGAGGGGGTGGGGGCAGAAAGTGGAAATGAAAGCAGACAACAGAACATTGTTAGTGATCAGGAAAGGATGTGAAAGGAGACAATTTTAGAGAAGAAAATTTTTTTGATCGCTACCCGGAATCGAACCCGGGACCTTTGAATGAGAGGCCAACACCTTAACCTCTAGGCCACGAGAGCCCCCTAGCCTAAATACTATGAACCTTAGTCTAGCTGATATCGTCACATACATTGTCTACCCGTGGGGTGGCAAAACGTTATGGGAATATTTATAACTGAATAAAGAGTACGCGCTGGGCACTAGATCTGCCTCAGCTTTGTCTTCCTTTCCCCGGCTTTGGTAACGACATGTATTCGAACATGAATGGGTTGTAAAGCGCACGACACAGGCTGTAGACTGCAGCTGTGAATATGAGCAAGTTTTATCATTACTCAGGCACCTCAAGTTAAGTCTGGCCAGCCTCCATGAAACTGAAATACCAGAAAGAAAAAAAAGAAGAAAACGGTCTGTACCACTGTAAACAGCAATTACATAGTTACAGTACAGCACAGAAGCTACAAATTATTCTTTTTTTTAGCATCAGAAGCTTTACAGCACTCGCCTCACAAAGAGGCCATACAAGTGTCACCGGAGCTTAACATACAAAGAAATGGACACACAAGAGACACCAGTGAGCAAAATTTTATCGAGCATCTACAGTCTTTCTGATGGGACTTTGTAGTCCGCAAGGGCCGGCCGGGTTGTCCCCAACAGGCAGGGTCAGAAGCCCAGTTCTTAAATTTGTGTATCACTGTAAATCTACCAGTACAAAAGTGAACTATCTTCGGAGAGGACTTTTTAAAGTTCAATACTTTTGACCAAAAAAGGCCTATATGATCTCTCAATTGTGTCAATGAGGACGTAAAAACATTTTTTTTAAAAACACAAAACAAAGCACAACAGGTTAGCCACTGACCGTCTCTCTCTGGCAGGGGCCTCCTCACGACGTACTGCCTCACGTCATCCTCCTTGGACAAGTTGAACAGTTTTCTGATTTTGCTGGCCCTCTTGGGTCCCAGTCTGCGGGGGATGGTCTTGTCGGTGAGCCCGGGAATGTCTTGCTCTCCTGGACACCATACAATTCAAGCACTTCATTACACTGGACAATTTTTTCTGATTCAACTCTAGTTGCTTACCACAGCATTCGCCCCACCACTCTATATATATATATATTACATATAATAACGATTACTATAAATAAAACTTAACACCTGCCATACCCGTGGAGTTTCAGGTAAAATTGATGTACAGCCAACTGCCTTTACTGAAACTCCTCAGGTTCGAGTTTCCTATTTCTTCTACTTTAAACCAACGTGTTTCGGGTATTTGAGTATGTGGTCACTTTTAAGCACAAGTGGGCTATCCCGAAAAATGCCTTTTTGAGAAAATCGAAGGTAAAGTTTTAGGACCCCTGTTCAGTTTCTTGAAAAGACAAAGAGTTCTCTCCATAACCAAACAAATATACACACCAATGAAACCAAATTTCTCCTACAGGTGTAGGTCTTCAAGATTTCTGGAAACCCCGCTTGTCCTTAAATGCAACCATATAACAAATAACTGATGACTTTCCCCGATTCGATTGAGCACCGTCTGAGTCACATCCATTGAAACTTGAAAAAAAATGTTCCCCCCCCCCCCATCAGTACCTCAGTATCAGCACAGCACAATGGCGAACAAATAATCTCTTCACATTTTCAAACTAATTGACCCATTACAAGTTGATGATGTGTCAGATCTAGGCCCCCCCCCCCCCACCATCCGTTGTACAAGCCCTGTCTTGTGCTCAAACCGACATGAAAAGACATGCATACATACAAAATAAATAAACAAGTCAATTTTTAAAAAGTTCTCTTTCTCATCATTATAGATTTGAAATTTAAAACAAATAAAATCAGGTGTGAGGCAGCGCGGTGAAATCACACGTTAGTCAAAATAATGAAATCCGAGAAATTGACATTTTCCCACCGGTTTTGCAATTTTTTTCTCTCAAATTTTTGTGTTTTGGTTCAACATCTGTTATATTTATTATTGAAAAACACATTTCTGTGATGACTTTAACGACAAAGTTGATGAAAGGCACAAAAAATGTAAATTATGTTTCCAAGATCTGTCAAGCTATGTATGATACCAGACTGGCGGCTGTTTTCCCGCTAATTTTACCTCCAAAATCAGGCGGGACCCCCCCCCCCTCCGCCATTGCAAATAGCGACTTCTGTTCAAGATAGGGGTAATTTTTTTAATCACAAGCAAAACAAATGAACAAGCTCTATAATGATACCAATACCCAACCCCATATCCAAATCAAAAACGTGACAAGCGTCAGATTCCACCATAAGGTAACATTTTTTTTTTTAACTTGAAAAAATGCACCATTCAAGATATCTAAAGTTTTTGGTGCAGCATGTATGTATTGCCCTTTTACATGTTAATTTACACTGATAGTAGGTGATTTAAAAAGGCCATGATGAATTTTTGAAATAGGTACCAAAACACAAGACATTCTTTAGATGGCAAGCCCAAAAGTGCCCAACAGGGAGAGTTTTAACAATTGTGCGCGAGAAAAGTTTATACGCTCTGACCTACCAACTACCCCATGCTTTGAAGAAAGAAAAAAAAAGAGAGAGAGAGCCAGAGACAATCCCCACTGCAAAGTAAGCAGGCCACAAACCAGAAAAGCATCAACTTGCAAAAAGGAACAATGTTACTTTTGGTTTAGTCACCCGGAACAAACCAAACCCACTGCATGTTACTTTCAGTACAAAACTAAAGGTCCATTCTTAAGTTAAAAAAAACTTTTCTGCCCCCAAGTTCCCAGCACGCAGGTCCACACATACGGAAATGAGTGGACAGGCAGTCAGCTGATGGAGGAAAGCAGCAGTGTTGGCCAAATTATCAGTGGAAAACAATGCATGCATGAAAAGAGCCTCTCCCTCCCCTCTTCCCAGAACAAATGAAACAACACAGAACTGCCAAGCCGTTCTACGATAAGACGTACACGTACCTTTCTTGATGATAACAAGAGACAGGACACTCAAGTTGCTGTCGACGATGCACCCACGGACAGATTTGCGTTTGCGCTCACCAGTGCGCCTGGGCCTGTAGCAAGAGTGGTTCTTGTCGAGCAACAACCTCACTCTGGTGGCGGTCAGGACACCTTGTTTCATGGGGAATCCCTGTTTGTCGTTTCCACCACTGATGCGGACAACGTAGCCCTGAAACCAAGCAGGACACAAGTCATGGAAAAGAGGCACCAACTTGTATGATCTATAAATTTTGCAGCAAGATTTTAAAAATTGAATCTCACTGACTGCCATTACTGTAATGATTAATTACACTAATGCTGCATCGATAGGTCTAGACATATATGAGAATTGCCATTACAATTCAATTTGTCATAATACCACCGACAGAAGACAAATTCGCCTTCGGGACTGATGATGTAGCCAACGTGTATCCTTATTTTCCATTAATTTTCACATTCCAATGTCACAACCTTCAAGCAACACTATTCTTGATTTCAGTTTTCGCATTAATTTCTTTCACAGAAGCCATATCCTGCGTCCGCAGAATCCTCACATTCCCACAGATGTAGGCAGATTTGAAGTTTTATTTATGAAGGCAACTTTCTAAAATCACAATTCAGCTTTCTCGATCACCATATAGATTTTCCAGGTGCAGCAAAGACCCCTAAATAGACAGAAAGAATGAGTATATGAAAGAAAGAAGGCAACTGGCACTAAAAGTTCTGCTCAAAATGCCTGCAGCTGGAGTAACATTCAGATTCCAGCTCCTGGCAGTCGGGGAGGTTAAAGCGCCTGAACTTGGACAAAATCAGAATTAAGGATTTCTCGTGTTATCCGAAGCGTATTTTTTTAAAAGGGAGTGTATACAGACCCGGTAACCGGGAACAAAGTCACAAAGTATACAGACCAGGTAAAGGAACTCTTTTGTGATTTCGGAGAGTTTCAGCGCCCTCTTGGCTCAGGGTAGACCTAGGTTCTTCTAGACCTATGGTCTAGATCTAGATCTAGACAGACAGACTTAAATCTTTGATCTAGTTTCGCGGCTAGCCTAGATCTAAATGAAGATTGCGGATGTCTTTTCGATGAACGATCGTTTTTCCTCCGTTTTGGAGTTTTTATGGAGGAATCACAGTTTGAAGAAAAGAACAAGTTACAATGTCATAATTTCAATCGAGCAGTCCTCTCTCTCTCTCCTCTGTGTATCGCTCGCCTTCTCTTTTTCTTTGTTTGTTTCTGTCTTTCTTTGTCCCCACCTATTTCCCACTCTATCTTTCTCTCGTTCCCTCCTGCCAACTGGGGCATGTCATATACATTTTGCTAGCAACCCCCCCCCCCCCCCTCCTCTCTCTCTCTCTCCCTCACACACACACACACTAGATTTCTATCGGGTCTGGGGGCTGAAACTTCCCGAAATCACAAAAGAGTTCCCCTACCGGGTCTGTATACTTCGTGACTTTGTTCCCGGTTACCGGGTCTGTATACACTTCGTTTTTAAAAAGAACTTTTATGTTGCAATAGAACAACCTTTAATACCTTCTATAAATCGCTCTTTGAAAAATCAAACTCAGTTGCTCAACTTGCACTTGCAAACCATTCACCATTTATAACAGATGATGGTCTAAAATTTCTATTCAATTTTAGATAAATATCTAAAGATGCTACTAATGGGCAATATTTTAAAAGATACCACAAGCAGACAACTCTTGACATATTCTTCAGCCAACCTCATAGAGCATATATTCAGCTCCACACATCTCAAACCCTCACTCACAAACTGTTTTCCCTTTGTGCTCATTTACAGACAACACACGAAACCATTTGCTGCCTACCTTCCACTCATCTCCAAGGCAGTCAGCAGATAACTCAGCAGAAATGCGCTTGTCATAGAAAGGGCGCAGTTTCTTTTCATCATCAACTTCAATCAATTTCTGGCAGCCAGTGGCTGGGTAACTGATATTGAGCTGAAATGAAAATGAAAGTAATTCACATTATTACATTTGCCTAGACAAACGGTCTGACTTTTTAAAAAATAGTAGTAAGAGGGTTTTACGGCACTCGGAACTGCATAAGGTCATATGAGCGCCAAAGGTCGGTGTCAACAGAGAAGTCTTCACAGGGAATCAGACTTAGAGACAGCTCACCTCTCTAGCTTCAACAGCACATGGTCTGCTTCGACTATCAAGGCACCCGGGAAATAGCAGGTCACAAGAGAGTGACAAACATACAAAAGAAGTAGAGGAAAATGACAATAGTAAGGATTAGGAAAAAAAAAAGCAGCAGTTCCTTGTAGATCAGGCAGTTATGAGCGTGACATGACTCAGCCCATTTACAATTCTACTATGCTCGAACGAGAAATGTCCCCCTTGGAGAATGGCCTAAAGACACTGCAGTCAGGGGCACTGCCCCGGGGGGTGGTTTGACTTTGACTGTGTCATTTTTCTCACTCCCTCTCGATCTCTCCCTGTCATCTCTCTCACACCCACACAGACACACACACATTCTTTTCCTTTCTGTATCTATCTTTTTTCATTCAGAAACACACTCTCCCCCCCCCCCCCCTCTCTCTCTCACTAGTCACACACACACTCTCTCTGTGTTTGAGCGTTCGCACACTCTGTCACACACACATTCTTTTCCTCTCTGTATCTGTCTTTTTTTCATTCGGAAACACACTCTCCCTCCCTCTCTTTCTCTCTCTCTCGCTCTCCCAGTCATCATTCTCTCGCTCTCACTAGTCGCACACACTTTCTTTCTCTCTCCATCTCTCTCTCTGTATGTGTGTGTGTGTTTGTGCGCTCGCGCGCTCTGTCAAACACACACACACATTCTTTTCCCTCTCTGTATCTGTCTTTTTTCATTCAGAAATACACTCTCTCCCCCTCCCTCCCGACAAACAGATCTAGAAAATTTAGAATAGATCTAGATCAAGTCACAAGTTAAGAGTCTCAATCCCAATCCACCTTTGCTCGACCATGCACGCAGGTGAAATGAATGGGAAACGAACCGCCGAACGCCTTGACTTTTGGGGGAACAACGAACGGCCTTGACTTTGAAAATACGTGCCCCTAACAATCCACTGCTATGCGGGCGTACGCGTGCCTAACAAATTCCTTTTAAAATCCTCTGGGGGCCTGTCAGCTGCTGTACTGTGACTGTGCACCACTTCTTTGAAACTACTGACCACCTGTATTGTGACTGTGCACTACTTCTTTGAAACTACTGACCACCTGGACTGTGACTGTGCACTACTTCTTTGAAACTACTGACCAACCGTACAGTGACTGTGCACCACGTCTTTGAAACTACTGTTATGCGGGCGTACACGTGCCTAACAACTTCCTTTTTTAAATGGTCAGTCTAGCCATCATATTAAGAATAAGTACGGCTAGCCTCTTCCTTCTAGATTAGTTCCCCAGGCCGTGTTTGTTAGCCTATGTTTTATCAAACGCCTGCTTTGCAGTGAAAGAACAGAGAGTGTTTCTCTCGCTCTTTCACATCAAACACCAATAGGCCTACCGAATATTTTAAAAGTCTATGATTCAGTATCGACATCGAAGTTCCAGTAGCCAACTCCAGGAGGGGGCCATTACTTCATCATTCTCAATCTGGCACTACTTGGATATGGTGGTCCCGACTTTTGTGCAGTGTAGGCAACTGAAATATCGATACTGATTCAAATAGTCGGTATCAATGTTTTATGTTTTATCAGTAGCCTAGATTCTAAATCTAGCCTACAAAATGAGCAGTAAAATTTCACTTTTTCACAAAGCAACGGGGGTTGCCCCCCTGATTTAAAAAAGAACAAAACATGGGGTGTTTCAGGGGAGCATCTCTGAATTTGACCATGATTCCATGATTTGATGTTTTTTGCAATTAGATTTGAAAGGCTAGAATCTATCTCTCCGCACGCGAATCAAAAAGTAATCGTTAAGAGTTAGACTTAGAACCAGAAGTAGAAGTAATCGTTCTAGATTTTCTCTAGGTTATATTTGGAAGAGGCTAGCCGTACTTAATGACGGCTAGACTCGCAGTCTAGCCGTACTTATTCTTAATATGATGGCTAGACTGACCATTTACAAAAAATAGGCCTACTGAATTGTAAATATATACATTTTTAGTGTACAGTACCTAAAGTATTTGTGTGTATTTGAGACGAAACCAGGTGCCTTAATGACAGTGCATGTATTTTAAACCTCCTGTTTTCTAATGTAAATAGGGCCTAAGATAAAGTACGGCTAGACTTCTTGTCTAGCCGTACTTAAGTACGGGTAGACAGCCAGGCTAGCCGTACTTAAGGACGGCTAGACTGTCAGGCTAGCCGTACTTAATATTGATGGCTGAATTGTAAATGAAATTTTTAGTTTGCAATGCCTAAAGTATTTGTATTTCAGACAAAATCAAAGGTGCCTTACTGACTTGCATGTATTTGAACCTGAATAATTACTAGATCTAGATCTAATGAGACTTGTGTACTTAACAGGCTTGAGTCGATAGGGCCAAACCTAGATCTAAGTACGGCTAGACTGGCAGTACTTAAGTACGGCTAGCCACTTCGGTTATATTTCCCTGTCACAAAAGTCGGGACCATCATATCCAAGTAGTGCCCTCAATCTCATTCTTCTAATTGAGACACGAGAACAGCAACTCTCCCAAGGCCAAAAGCAACATCACACATAGCCCAGTTGGTATTTTTTTTACTTTCCCTCCCGTCTCACACTCAGCTACCAGTTGTCTATTTTCTACTAAATATTGATGCGCTGAACACGAATATCAACTTCATTTCCGTCGCAAATTAATAGTTTTTGAAATATTTGATTGTTTTTAACCGAGATAGACATGCTTAGGACCAATCGGGGGGTTCCAGGGAGGCCTGCCCCACTGGTGTAAAAGAAAATCTGTTTTTACATATAATTTGATATTTTACAGATAGATTTGAAATTGTCTTGAAAATAATTGATAAGCGACAGTTTTAGTGGCTTTATGTGTGATCTGCAGCAAACAGTACAGCAGTTTGACCCCTGAAACAGTGCATCTGTGTGCGGGAGTGAAAGTAAAAATTTACCGCCCAGTTGATCAAGAGCCGGAAGACAAACCCCTTCACTGCCAGCTGTAGGTTGCCATTGCGAAAAGCAAAAAAAAACAACAAAACAAAATGTAAACACAACTCGGAACGTCAACACTTCACTTCTTCAAAACAATGAAAATGACTTCATCATAGTATAGGTCCGCCGAATCAGCTGAGCAGTAGCAGGCACATGGCAGACAGGGAAGCACTGCTTGGCCCGCTGATGATTCAGCGGGCCGGGGCAGTAAAGAGGTTAAACCTATGCCATGGTATATGCAGTTAGACTATGACTACAATAATAATAAAATAAAGAGTAGGCCTAGATCTAGAAGCCTAAATTAGATCTGCATTACAAATTGAGAGACCCACTCAGCCCACTATCACTATCATCAGACATCAGACTACAACTACCAGAGTAGGACCTACCCCTGCCCCCACTCAAGGTAGCCTACCAACACGAAACCGGTGTGACATCAACAACAAAGAAAATATCTTAAACGGGTTTTCGTATTACCAAACGTTTAAAATCATGAGCCATCCATGGACATCATCAAATAAGTCATTTCAATTCTCGCCAGTGCGTTGTTTACATTCAAAATGGGACACTGGGTTAGGATACGGTTTTCGATAGCGAAGGCAGCACTTCTATCCGTAAATATTTCCCTAAAATAAGGACATCGAATCATAAACTAATGCCTGTAGCTTCCAGGGTAAATTATCTTTCATTTACAAATCTAAAATAGTTTAACAAAGTAGTACAACTAGAGAAATTTAAAAATTTCCTACCTTCATATTGCTCGAATACGGGCCGTCACTATAACCCCATAAGAAAAGGCAGTGTGCAGGCACTTCCTGTTGAATTACTTCCGGTTTTTAAAAAACGATGTATCTGTACAACGAAACAAACTTCTTTTCCATTTCTTTTCTCTCTTCCCCTCCCCTTTCCCCCCCCCTTTTTTTTTTCTAGAGCACCTAATATTATAGGCCTCATCCTAGGCTAACCTAATACAATATAGAACTACATTCAGTTCAAATCGGGTCAAGAAAGCCGCTCAAGACAAACAGATTAAAGGTAAAACGAGATGCTGGCTGGCTCATTCAACACAGCTAATCTCTACTTTCTCGAATTGCGAGATATGGAAATAGAACATTACTTTTGTACATTTAAAATTAATTAGACCTACATTGTACAGTATTTGTTGAGCTAGCCTACTTAATTTCACAGTGGTGAGAAGATCTTAATACGGATCAATGACATGCCTAATTCTATTCTTACTTCAGATACACTCAATTAATAAAACATAATAATAAT